CCAGAACCTTGATATGCTTCTTACGGAGCCACTCCTTGGTTATCCTGGCTGTGTGCTTCGGGTCGTTGTCATGTTGGAAGACCCAGCCACGACCCATCTTCAATGCTCTGACTGAGGGAAGGAGGTTGTTGCTCAAAATCTCACAATAAATGGCCCCATTCCTCCTCTCCTTAATACAGTGCAGACAGGTGCTACTACTTTAGATTAATGAGTGGAGTAGAGGTGGACTTTTTCAAGGCACAGTAACAGGTCTTTGAGAGCCAGAATTCTTGCTGTTTCTCAGGTGTTCAAATACTTATGTTCAGCAGTGCAAGACAAATTCTTTTAAAAATCATACAATGTGATTTCCTGAAACTTTTTTTTTTTAATTCTGTCTCTGAGTGGGAATGCACCTACAATGTGAATTTCAGACCCCTCCATTATTTCTAAGTGGGAGAACTTGCAAAATCGCAGGGTGTTCAAATACTTCTGTTCCTCACTGTAAATGAACATAAAATAAGTATACAGTATGCCATCACTGATCTTAGTTCACAGCCAACTGGGGACAGGACTATGTTCTGTAAACACAACATTAGCATGTAGACGCCATATGGCTAACGTGTTAGCAAACAGTGGCAATTTTACACACTGAGAAGACATTAGAGCAACATTAGCATTCATTTATTCATTAGTTGTATTACTGTCTCTGTCAGAGACCATATTCACTCTCTCTTTATTTCTGTTTTGGTCCCCAGCAACTCCTGAAAAAAATATTGAGCTTTTTAAATGTTCATTAGCCAGTTGCTAACTATGTGTTTAATGTGGTGCTTGATAGTTAGCATACAGTGGGTATGTAAAGCGTTTTAACATATAACATTTGCCTGGTGACAATTAACATATAGCTCCCTGTTTTGGTTTTATTGAGAGTTAAGGCAGTAAAACCAAAAACCATGATCTGAAAGATGCTAAAAATGTCATAGAGCTGAGGAGAACTGTAGAGTTGGGTGATGATTCTGTGAGTTCATCACTACAGAGTTAATAATGGGTGGCAGATAGCAAAAACTGCAGAGTGATGTCTTGAATGTGGCACATCCCAGCATGGTTCAGTGATCTCCAGTTCAGGATATGTACCCCACCAAAACTATTATTTTCATCTGTGGTAGTTAAATGGCTCCACTTGATGGCCTAGAATAGAAGATGATATGTATTTTGGAATTAAAGTCCCTGTTAACATACTTTAACTTCATCAACGAACAGTAAGTGACTCATAACCCTGAAACATCTGTGTCTGTTTAGAAAAGACAAGTGACTCATAACCCTGAAACATCTGTGTCTGTTTTGTCTGTTTAGAAAAGACAGACTCATAACCCTGAAACATCTGTGTCTGTTTAGAAAAGACATGTTCCATCTCCCATTGTCCTGTTTCTTGGCAGTGTGGTTCACCTGTGTGTATGGAGGTGTATAGCAGAGTGAACCATCTTTGGCCAGCGCTGAGGTCAGAGGGATGTTGGCTCTGTTGTTTTATTGATATCTGCAGTGGGAAGACAAATATTTTTGTCCTGAAGGCCGGTTTGCTCAGAAATGTCTTGTGGCACCTTTCAGAAGTGAACTTAACATGGCCAAGGTCAACTGTCTGCCTTCAGTGTTTAAAAAGCAAGATATGGCTGCATCATCAACCTCAGCTTTCTGTCTAGACTTTGTCACCAAATGAGCTTTTGCTTATGTCCAGCTCTCAGAGGAAAACTCCCCCTCAGATACTCTTACACTGTTAGACAGCTGTGTGTTTTTTTGTTTGTTTGTTTTGTTTTTTAAATAAGGAACTTGCTTGTCTGCTCCAGGTAGTTCCCTGCAGTTCCCAGAATGTCTCTTTACAACCCTCTGAAATGAAGTGAACTTGTAAGTATGAAACAGACCACAAATTGATGCTTGTTAATTGTAGAAAGGTGGTTTCTTAAAAAAAAAAGAATGTATTTGTTTAAAGGTTCTCCTGCTATTGCACTTGAGTAGGCCACTGGTTTCAGAACACTAAACCAGCTCCCTGCATGTTAATTATATTTTGGCTACCCACTACACCATAAAGATAGCAGTGGTTTAAAATTAGAGGATGAATTTCCCCACAGAAATAAGAGTCTACAGCCATGCTAGCTGCTCTGTGCAATCCAATCCATCCATCCATTATCTATACTGCTTATCCTGTAGTGTCAATCCCAGCTGACATTGGGCAAGAGGCAGGCTGAGTTGCCAGTTTATCACAGGGCTGACACATAGAGACAGTCACTCACACTCACCTTCAGTTTAGCATTTTAATAAATAAAATGGAGATTCTCAAGTACGAGTACCTCAAAATTATACTCAAGCATAGCACAGTAAAAATACTTTCCACCACTGTCGTTACAGTGCATTATCAGGGACCCATGGATCCCTGATAATTTGGGGTTCAGTGTTTTGTTCAAGAACGCTTCAAACATAATCAAGCCACCAGCCCCAGTTTTTCTGTCTGCTCCAGTGGTCTTGCACTTGGAGAATATTCGGATGAATATACAGCAGAATACCAAATACAAGCAAAATGAGTATATGTTGTTTGAACATATTTTAAGTGCCTTCTCAGCTAATTCTCTGATATTTTGCTGGAAAAGCATCAGCCATTTGCCTCCCACTTGTTTTTCTCAAGCTCTGAACGTCTTGGCACATCTGCTGTGTCTCTCCCAATAGGCACTGCAAAAACAGCACTGGCATACGTAGGAGTGGATTTCTTTTTACCATTACTCAGAATCAGATAGTACACCGTTGACCATGACATAATTTTATTTATAATGGCTTGAGACCCAGGTCTGTATAAATGTCATATCCTTCTATCTGGACTATTTAGATGTCTGCCCGCAGAGCATGACGAGAGAAAGCGAGGAGGTGGAATATGCAGCACTGGCTAGGTGAGGACTGACCCACGACCGGGTAGTTCCAGCCAAGTAATCTGATTGGACAATGGCGTGGTCAAGCCATGGTGATTATTCCCATGAAGCACAGCTAGCCATTTCTGGTCAAAAATGCAATCAGATGCCAACTTAAGGCACAATAAAATTAGTGGAGGTATGGATCTGACTGTTGCTCATCTATCCTAAAAGGGATTTTTTTTTTTCAGACACCAGTGGTGTGATTTTAACTTTTTTCTTTCATCTCTATTTCTCCGTCCAAGCTCATGCAGTCACAATGAAATCTGGGCAGCACATGTTTGATAACATCATTTGAGTTACAGATCATGCCCTGGTCTGTGCTGCTTACGTAAAGCTGCAGCAAGGCCCATTTAGGCAAACAAAATGAGGTAGATTCACCAAAGCTATTTTCTATTTATGCATAGTTAGACTAATTTCTTTGTAAACAGTCAAATGAGAGAGAAAAAAGGCAGAGAATGCGCTCTGGATCACTTTTGTGGGTTTAAATCTAATTGCAGATTTACAAGTGGTTGATATGCCAGAGTAACACACATGCACACATAGTGCCACATTAAAATTAAGTCATTGGAGAATTTTTCTTTCCACTTTCTACAAATGCATAATGAGATGTGAAAAGTTACCATTAGTTTCAAGAAAAAGTTCCAGTTTTAAATCAAAAGCAGCACAAAACTCTTTTAAAAACTAGCTCATGCTAAATAGTGTAACTGAAAGGTTAAAAGTTAACTTGCATTATTATGAATCATTGCTCAATCCCCAAAAGGAAACATCACACACAATGAAATCTGACATGAATTCAGTATATTATTTTTAATATTAAGCAACCTATCTGCAGTATGATTGAAGTAAATGTAGGATAAAACCACTACAGGATAAGTACATATTTTTCATGTTTATTTTAGTGTCTCATAGTGTGAAGGGGTGCAAGAGGTGTGGCCACAGCTGCCCCCAAGCCAAAGTGGTTTCTCAACATTACAAAAAGGCACAACAGTGAAATACATTTGAGGCTGACCACAGGGTACATACTGTACATAAAAGTGTATATACTTTAATTTAAGCACGCTTCGTGAACCAAATTGTACACACACAGTGTAATCAGTGACGCCGTTACTGTGTACAGTATGTTGTGACTGATGATCCCTGTCATAGCTGTCGCAGAAAAGAATCTCAATAATAGGAGGTGTTTGTTTATTTTATTTTACTTTATTTTTTTGCTGCACTGACTGCAGTGTTTATATCAGTCATACACATAGATGGGGGGTGAAAAGGCAGGGCAACAATAAATCTGGAAAGATGCAAGACCAGAAATTAATCATTTTACAATTTGACATAATGCACCAGTTCACAAATTTCACACAGTTGATAATCTGACAACACATTCAGCACCTATTCTCCTCAGCTTGCTGTTACAGTATGTTGCTATGTGCCCTGTATTTTGGGCAGCTAAGATATGTTTGCTCTGGTGAGATAGCCCAGTTTTACAATGTTGCATAGATATAGTAGATGACTCTTTCAGCTTTTATGTTTGGTAGAAATCTTACTGCTTGACCAGGTACCATCCCCTCTGAATATTATAAACTACAAGCAAAAAAAGCACCTTGTTCGACAAGTTAAGGTTAGCCGTTAGCCAAGGCACCCACAATTCTACACATACTGAACATCTACAGTATGTATTGCTGTGTCTGGGGACCAAAAATACATAGAAGTACCCCAATATGACACACCACTGCTTACTGTACATGCCATGTGTATGATGAGAGAGTTATTGCAGTGATTATTTCCTAGCTTAGCTACACTATAGGAAGTATTGGTCAAATTCCTTGTCCTGTGCAAAAAAAAAAGCTCAGCTTTTGAAGCTCAGCTTTAGTTAACATGGGGCTTCAGTTAGCCATATCACATGGATAAGTCACAGAAAATTCCCACTGGAGATAAAGTGGCATGCAAAGTGATCCATTCACACCCTACACTGACAGAATAACTTAATACACTGACCAGTAACTCTCTCGACAAACATATGGGACTTCACTATTGTACTGTCGCAGACTTTTAAAAATTCCAAAGAGCACTTCCTTGGTGTGTGCTGGGACTCCAGCTCAGACTACTGCAGGTTCATACAGGTCATAGGTGGTTGCATGACAAGGCAAGCAGCTCCAGATGCATGTCAAAGGACACCCCCCAGTTTCACAACTCACTTCTAAGATAAGTTGACACAGCAGTGAAAGGAGGGGCAACAGCATCGGTGGAGTTAAGAGGAAATTCCCTCTTTCCTCCTTGTTTATCTTTGTCTCACTGTGGCTGCAGTTTTTGCACTATACACTGAAAGTGAAATATTGTGATTTTTCTTATTACTGTGAACAACCAAAACAGGTGTAGTTTTTCTTAGCTAAGTTCTAGTCTGGGCTAGAAATGTTAGAAAGCGCAGATAAAAAGTGAATGTTTTTCACATCACTGTCAGTTCACATTGATTTTAAAAAATCCAAATGTAGACATTTCTCTGTGTCTGCCCCTCTCTCCTTCTCTTACTCCAAAGTTGAAACTTTTTCACTGGAATTCGCTCTGGGAAATTCCCTCTTTTGACACTCTGACAGCTCTGGTTTGTGTTGTTCAGGATAATCAGTCGATTCAAGAGACGAGCCGAACCTGTAATTACAAGGGAAATTAGCAATAGGCAATAATTTGCGCCTATATACAGCTTGGTTTTGACAGGGTGGGTGGGTTCACTTGAACATTTCAAAAACCTTTCAAAAAGTGAGTTAGTTTCAAGGGAGGACTAGGAAGGATGCTGAATGTGCTTCATAATAGTCCTGAAGCATTTAAATCCTCATTTATTATAGTGGAACTGAGGATTTGTATTGCACTTTTTATTGCAGTATTCATCAAAGATCTAGTCCTGCTTGGCGGAGAATGATTGCAGAGCCAAACTAATTTACAATGCCATTATTGCATCTTTCTTCTTTCATTTTTCTACATTCTGTCATGTGAGTGGTTTAAACATAGTTCATTTCCCACCAAAAACTGTGACTGTGATGCTTGTAATCTTGAAGCCATTTGGCCTGAGGGGAGTCCATTGCACAGAACAAGGTTAAGACACATTTGGTCTGTATGGTTTCGAAAGCTCAAAATGTGTTGTTGTTGTTGTTTGTTCCATGTTGCTGAATCACTACCAGCTGCCACATTCACCATCCTGTCAGGTTACTCACCCACTGATGTGTTAGCAGCTGGCTATTACCCAGGTGCTGCTACAGTGTTTTTAGGTTGGTTTAGATGCAAAAATGACAGGAGAATAGAAAATAAGTAATATCAGTCATCACCCAACAGGGAGAATAATTGTTGGCAATCAAGATGGCAGTCAATGTCATTAAAATGATTGAAAACCAAACAAGAAAAGGTAAAAATTCACAAAGACCAGCTTGGTTTCAGTGTGAAAAGTAGTGTACCATTGATAGAGAAACATAAGTCATGTCATCACATCCAGTCAGCCTCTAAGCGTGTTCCTCTGTATCGTTTTTAAAATCATATTCTAAAACAAGCCACCAATCACTACAACACTTACTACTTAAAGTTGAAACCTTTATGGTTAACAAGGTTAATTAATAATAAAAAAAAATTAGCACTGGAAAAACTACAGTTCCCATGATCACTTTGCAGCATGGCAGTACACATAGTATATGTCACTGTTGTTTATCAGATTCTTCTGGATTTTTGTGGTCCAAGTAGCACAACATTATCTGTGTATTTCTGATATTAGTTTCAAAAGTAAAGGCTGGTTAAAAATAGAAATATTCCATTAATGGGCAGAATGGTGAAGCAGTTATCCCCCAAGCAGCTCACACAAACACACACAGTATAAAATATAACTTACAGTACACACCTGGATGGGCCGGAGTAGTGGGTGTGAAGTGTGGGGGTTTGACTGAAAATAGTGGAAAACAGCCAGCTGGGGCCTCTCCAAAGTACAAAAATACACCTAAAACCTTTCATTTCTGTTAGTGTACTGTTTGTTAGTGTGCTTTAGATGTGTTAGTAGGTGTAATATTTCACTATGAAGAAAGTTAATTACCTTGTTCCCTCTGTATGCTAAGCTAATCACCTTCTTGCTCTAGCTCTGTATTTAACATACTGTACAGACATGAGAATTTAATGTGAGATAATACTGTCGTCTACTTAATATTTACACAAATGCTTAGTGAATTTTAAATGTAAATTAGCATTGACTTACAGTAGGTACAGAAAGTATTCAGACCCCCTTAAATTTTTCACTCTTTGTTATATTGCAGCCATATGCTAAAATCATTTAAGTTCATTTTTTCCCTCATTAATGTACACACAGCACCCCATATTGACAGAAAAACACTGAATGTTTGACATTTTTGCAGATTTATTAAAAAAGAAAAACTTATAACCACCAAGGCTTACAGAATGAAGAAAGGAACCTGCAGAATATACAACAAACATTTTAAGAAAGATACCACAATCACACTTTTTGATTGACAGCGTGACATATCTATACAGTAATACACTGTACATATAATCTCCCTGTGTATTGTCTCATTTCTTTGTAGACTGTATGTTTAACTCCCAAAAATGCACCCATCTTCCTCTTTCCACCTACAGAAATCCAGACTCTTGGAATAGCATATGGTACCACAGCCGAGTCCCAGCAGACAGGCTTCCTTCAGAAACACAGTAATCTTGTACTGCCAATTTGAACAATACGATTGCAGTGTTTAACTAAAGGCCGTTTATCATTCCTCGGCTGACCTCAGTATCCCCACGGGGGCCTAATGATGACATCATTAATAAGCACCAAGTGCTGCTGGTTGATAACCCCTGAGATTCTGTACTGTAACTGACAAGGACAGATCCTGATGGTGGGCGTAAGCATGAGAGAGGAGGAGATGGATGAAATAAGACAGTGGAAGGAAATGGCACTACAAAAGGACAGGCTTCAAGGGTTGGTTCACCCAATCTACAAAAAAAAA